TTAGTAATATCATGGAAAATGCACATTCCCTAATTTATTTCCACAATGCAGTGATATAAATTGTAGTAGCAGTGATGGTCAAAATATGTACTTTTGTCATTTTTAGTAAAAAAAATATAGATTTCTTCACAAAGGAATTAGTTGTGTATATCAGATTTGACCCCGAGATCTACGTTTAGCTGCGTGACAATGGAAACGTTGAGTTATAGTAGTTAAGTATTTCTAGGATTATTGCGCGATTAAAGTTAGGAAAACGTGTAGAGCAATTGATTGTGGAAAAGGTCGGATTAGGCTGCGCGATTTGATCTGTAGGATATTTGACTTCAGTCGGTCCCTGGGTTTTAAAGGGCCAGGATTCTAAAATCACTGGGCCTACGTAGTTCAATGAAAGATGATTAGTGGTTTTTTTGTGAAAATAAAATTCGGAAAGTACAATGATTAGCTGCCGAATTTTTTTTGAGAGCCACCGGCAGTCACCAATTTTTTTCGATGGGTACTAATCGGTGACTCTCGCGTGAGGAAACGGTGACCCTCCTGCTGACTATATATATACATCACTTGTCTGAGGATAGACTGTGTGCTAAGAAAATCATGGTACAGTAATCTGTATAAAAAAGAAAATGTTCCATGATTGGCTCCAAAAGCCTCAGTATGGTCGGGGGTGGGTGTCTAGGGTCGCGGCTGGTCACCCTGCCTGTGAGCCTCACGAAATGCTCCCATACGACCAAGGGTCTCAAATATGCTCTGCTGAGGAAGCCCTACTAACTGCCTTCTCGTGGCGGAGGTGTTTTACCACCAAAGTGAGAGGACGAAAAGCCGATATCCGAGACTATAGCCGGGTTGGTGAACCACTGGCAGTTCACCTAGGGAGGTTGACCAAAAAGCCTGATTCCAAATCAACCTAGAGGAAGCGTACGAACCACATCCACACCTTTTCGGTTGTGGCAGTGGTCACCGGCTCGATTGGGCATTGAGGTGTATTGGGCACCTTCGACGTCTGACCCCGGCGTATGATCCTATGAACTGAACACCGGCTCCCAATGGACTGCGTTTTTCACACACCGCCCCGCTGCCTTGCGGGTCAGGCTTTGGCTAGCTGAAGGCTCCGGTTGTGGATTACTCAAGAAAATTCACCTGCCTTGGCCTGGGCAACCTGGCAGTACTCAGCCCACAAGCCAATCGTGCTGACTGCGTATATATGTATATGTACATCTGCATATGTATCAGTTATGTATGCATAACTGATATATATATATATATATATATATATATATATATATATATATATGCACATCAGTTAAAAGCCTAAAATGTCTATTACAACACTTTCCTTTTAGCGCATACTTCAGGATATCAGTTCCGTCATTCCTTGTTAGGGCATTATATATATCTATTACACCGGCTTTAGAACAAGCATAGTGCGAATGCAAAACAATGATGATGAAGTTATAGAGGGGTACAGAAAGATTAGATGAAAATCGGAAAAACAGAGAACACAGAGAATGAATGTATAAATGAGGGAATTTTTTGTAGTTTCACCTTACACTTCTTGAAGATTTTTTTGTGTTACGTGGAACGGGGTTTCGCCAAACCAACTGCACAACAATGGCGCCACTGACATCTATTCTGAGCCATATCTCCTAGCGTCTATAGCCATCAGCAGTCCTCATCCCTTGGACCCCAGTCTGGAAGGAGAGCTGCACCAACCAAAGCCAAAGCTGAAGCTTCTTCATGCCTCTACGCCACGTCATGATCTGACCGCCGCGGCGCTTCTTCCAGCTTTGCCCGGCACGTGCAAAGAGAGCACGGCGAGGTAGTCGATGGGCAGGCGTACTAAAAACATGACCGAGCCATCGAAGGCGGTATAGAACGATTTCTTCTTAGAGAACTACTATCAGTACCCAGCACACGACGACTAATTTTGTCATCGCTCACCCAATGTTCCCACCAGGCATGAGCAATGTTTCGAAGGCATCGGTGGTCGAATACGGAATGTCAATTAACATCCTCCGCTCGGAGAGACCAAGTCTCGCAACCGTAA